TGCTTTACTACCTGTATAATAACTTGTTGACACGTGAAAGATTGTTTAGACTACTGAAAACAGTTTCTTTATTTATTATTTATCTAACACTGATTCAAGACTTTTGGTTTACATTTTGGTTCATTGTGTATTCCTCAGTTCGGCGCTTAGAATTACTGGTACCTTCTGATGATGCTTGAATTCGGTACCATCCCTGTCCGGAGCTTCCCTTAGGTAGTATAGTGGAATATTGTACCGAGATTATTCAGTCATTATTCTACATCGCCATTCTCGTGAGGCGGTTAGAATCCAGAGATTTGTATTTCATGTATTGCAGGCTATACGACCTTGAGGCAATTATATGATCACTTAGTTTCAGTGTGAAAATTGGATTCTTTCTAGAATGCTATTTTCTTAAGATTTGTGCAATTACGTTTTTTCCAAATTTTGATCGCCGTCATGATTGTTTTCGATTTAATGACTATTCAACAGCATGAATGCGATTGCTTAATTTTTTTACTTGTGTTCTATTCACCCCAGCTGATTCGTCTGCGCCCGGCACGCGCTACTACCAACGCAATCGGCCGTATCGAGCTGCTGACCTCTAGCGAACAGTTCGCCACTCGACAGTCTTCTTCGATCTCCTTCGCTACTGCTACCGTCACTTCCCTGCCGGTCATCCCGCAAGTTATACCAGTGGCGGGCTTAAGCACCGCTACCTCTTCACCATCACCGTCACCCGCCTCCTCCCCTTGGCGTTCACCATTCGGCGTTATCCCTTCGCCACTGGCAGCTGGCTGCGCAGCTGGCCAATCCGGAGTCCCCAAATTGGCTGGTTCTACACTTGGTGGCCTCTCTGCAACAGCTGCGGCTCCTTCCGCTTCAATGCCTCATGGAACAACCACTTTATGGATACCTGAGGCGTTAACAACCTCTGCGAATCCTATGTGTATGCGGGCCTTACCTGTTCTAACGTCCTCCAATGCTAGTACTGCTGCGACGACTATCGCAGCTTCTGCGGATGATCTCTCTCTCACTGCCTCTGCCTCAAGTCTCGTTGGTTCTTCTACTATATCCTTTGACCATGTTTCTTCAGTTGCCTGCGCTTTGGACTCAGAAGCCGAAGAAGCCCTCGGTGACACAGAGAGAGTCGGCAACAGCAAAAAATCTCACCGGGCACGTAGAATCCGGGATATCAAGTTTACCTCGTCTCAGGACCTTGCCAATCTTCCCAGTAATACGAGACCTCGTCGAGTCCTGAGACGACGTGTAAGTGCTACCTCCTCTCCTGGTGTTCGTGGATTTTCGAGGTGGCTTCGACTTCGTTCGGCCCACACTGATGGTCAAAGTGAATCGACTAGTCCGGAGTTAAGGCTGCCAGCTGTAGATATATCTGATGTTGATCAGCCAGATCGTCCATCAACCAGGAGCCAGTCCAAGTTGGAAAAAGCGTGTCATTTCGATGGTCAGATCGGGCGTTATCATGCAGGTCCCGAAAATGAGACTGCTTTAGCTCATCTTCCTACTGAGGACGACTCATATTCATCAATTAGGCTGCAGCGAGGCGGGCGTATACTGTTTGTTCGGGAGTCTTCTCTACCTAGGTTGGTAGATGGCTTTAATTTCGCTGATTATTAATAATTTGTTTCCATCTCATTTATCTTTTTGGCTGTTTTGATTTTTATATATAT